TAGTTCTTGGCCACCCTGAACGCAAGCCATTTTGTGTGGGGAGAAGGCCACTTGGGCACAGCACCTGCAGATACCTAGAACAGTGAAGGAGAACCCATTTGAAGTTATCAGGGCAGAACAAGTGGAGGGTAGAGTGAATTCTAGAAAATAAGGGAGAAATGGATCCAGTGGGAGGAAATGCCTTGGCAATTGCCATGAATGGGTAGATTGGTATTGGCTTAATTCTGTACTGAGATACACTGCCCACTGCAGCAGTGGCTGCCATTACCACAGGCCACACAGTAGCCCGTTCTGAAGACTTGAGTTCAGTTGCCTCAATTCTCATCCTGTGCGAGATGCATTTCTTTTATTCACAGGTGGGATTTGATCACTTGCTAGACATCTCGTGGCCTATAAATTGTAGAGCCAGGTCAAATCCAGACGGTCTAAGTTCCCCTCTCATCCCCTATGCTATTTTGCTTGTGTATGTTTCTATATTTTCTAAAGTATTGTTTCTTACAGAGAATCATAATAAAGTTTACTTATGTGCTACTGTTAGGCAGGAAGTTAGACATGAGCGGCTGGGGTGGGGCCTGCTCTGGGGTCCTGAACAAGGTTCAAACCAACATTGCCTTCCCACTGCCTCTCTGGCCGGCCCAGCAGCCAGCAGACCACCAATAGGCAGGTTCTGAACCAGCTGGTTCGTGGCACGAGCTCAGGAAAACAACATGACCTCATTTGGACCTTACTAGGGTCCTGGACTAATTATAATAAAATTGTATTGCCGTTTTTACACACACCTGTGGGTTTTTCTGTATGCATTATGGATAAGGGCATGCACTGAAGAAATACATAACCTTTTTCTGTCAACCATCCTTGAATGCAAATGACAGTTTCTACCTAGATAATCCCTTCTTTAAAGCATATAACCCAGGAGTTCGGGGCCATTTCTCTCAAATGTCCCACTCCTTACTTGGAGTGTATCTTCAGTAAATCCCACTTTGCTTTACTTTCATTTTGTTAAAATCTTTGTGTTTACAAGAATAATTGAAGTCCCAGCCGGTGACCCCAATTGGTAAAACCACTAGGGGTAGGGGTTTGCTGATAAGATGTCAAATTTCCTAAAATCAGGAAATTATTCTTCCTGACTCAAGTATCAGGGTCACCTTCTGTGAACCTGGACACTGACCAGTCTGAACCATTGAGTCATGGTGTTTTCTCTGTTAATGCATTGGTTGTTTTTGTGTTTTTGCATTAGTGGTTTTGCTAAACAACTATACTGTGGATTTCAGAATAAATGCTAATATATCTTCCTAATTTTAGAATGTCTATGGAACTAGACAATTGAGTATTTCATCATACAATGGGTTGTGAAGTCACACTGCTAAAATTTGCGCTACTACATGCTGCGTACCACATCAGGTTGCAACTATTCTGAGCGCAAGTTCTCATCAGACATAGCCCTGCTTAGAGCAGTGACTGGTAGTCCTGATGAGCTGATTTACAAGGACTGATTCCAGCCTACAGAGAGAGAGCAGCTTGCTTTGGACCAGAGCCTGGCATGAAGGGGTTCGTGGTTGTGAGAAGAGCCACTAAATCACTCTTCCCTTCTGAAAATGAACCTCAAAAATGTCCCTGGTGCTTTTTGTGATTGAAAGAAGAAAGTACGTGGCCTATGAATCGGAAACCATGTAGAGAGAGTTTCACAGCTGTTGACTTTACTTAAAAGCCCTTCTTCAAGGCAGCGTTACTTTATCTTCAGATCCCAAATCACTTGTCAAGTTCCACACCCCTTGTACTTTATATGACCCCCATCTCATCCCATGTGTGTCAAGAGCAACTAAAGGAACATGACCCCAAGGTGGATTTATTTAATGTTTGTCAAATAGTCTGGTTGTTATTGACACTCAAAAGTGCAAATGCCGCCCAGCTGGCCAGTAGTCATGGTTGAGCGTCAATCCCCAGCATGGGACCACCGATCATGCATGTTTTTCATCCATGTTTCTATATCCCTTCCTCTCTCTAAAGCCAGTTGTAAAAACTTAAAAAGTACAACGCCTCTGGAAGGGCTGAGAGACTAGTCTGTTGCCTGTGACTGAATTTCTTTAATCCTTTCGTGTCTTTCTCGGTTCTTGTGAAGTAGCTCCACCAAAGGATTGAGAGCTCAGGATTGAGGGCAATGGCGGAAATTAAATAACAAATTACTAAATTGTTTGTAAGCACGAAGAACTATTAATCCATTTCAAGTGATCTTGCAGGCACCCTTGCAAGATGGGGCCATCTAAATCACTAGAAAAGAGGGTACCAAAGACAGCTGGCTACTTAGGAAATGTGCAGGGTCGGCAAAAGCAGGGAGAACCTGACAGCAATAGTAAGTGTTAAACGTTTGTTGTGTCCTGAGTGCTGTTGTTTGTTCTATAGGTATTAACAGTGTTTTTCAAAGTGGTCCATAGGCCCCTTGGGGTCCGGACCCTTTCAAGGGGCTATGAGGGCGAAAGTATTTCCATGCCAAGTTTATTTGCCTTGTTCATTGTATGGACGTTAGCACTGACCGTACAAAGGCAATGGAGGATAAAATTGCTTTCATGTTAACGTGAGTGGCCAGTAGCACCAAATCGTACCAGTTAGTAGTCATGTTCTTCACCCCCACATACTAGAAAAAAAAAGCCATTTTCACCGAAGGATGGCCTTGATCAAGCGATACAGGTTACCAAGTCATCAGCTCTCAGCCCTTGAGTACACGGCTTTTCAGTGTTCTGCGACGTAAGTGTGTAGAGATCCGTGCAGCGAGTGTGGTGGTTGTCTCAGCTGACCTAGGCCTTTGTGGAACACCAGTTGTACTTCAAAGAATGACTAATGAACTGGTTACTCAGACTTGGCTATATAACAGACATTTTCTCAAAAAATGAATATAGTGAGCCTTTCACTTCAATAGAGCAACTATCTTAGCTCAGTTACTCTACTGAACTAATCGGCACAGACTGAGGGCTTAAACAATAAACATTTCTCACTTCCAGTTCTGGAGGCTGGAAGTTCAAGATCAGGGAGCTGGCAGATCCAGGTGAGGGCCTGCTTAACAGTTTGTGCACAGCCCTACTCGCTGCACCTCACATGGCCCAGACAGGGAGAGAGCTCTCAGTGATGGTCTCCCCTCAACCTTTTTTTTTTTTTTAATATATTTTTATTGATATTTTACAGAGAGGAAGGGAGAGGGATAGAGAGTTAGAAACATCGATGAGAGAGAAACACTGATCAGCTGCCTCCTGCACACCTCCTACTGGGGATGTGCCCGCAACCCAGGTACATGCCCTTGACCGGAATCGAACCTGGGACCCTTCAGTCCGCAGGCCGACGCTCTATCCACTGAGCCAAACCAGTCAGGGCTCAACCTTTTTTTTTACCTTTTGAAATTCCTGTGATTTTCATGGAAGCTCTAGTTGTCTTCGTGCATCCCCGGTTCCTCTATCTCCTCCTCTCTGAAGGATGTTTAGTCCCCACCCTAACCCAAGGCAAGGTACGCTGGTAATACTTCCATTATTCCCTGCCCGGGTTACCTCTGAGCTGACCTCAGATACTTAGTTCACTGTGTCCATCTAATGGCTCTGGACTCCCTCCTCTCCATTCTCCGGCCTGGAGTCAAGCCACTCACTGCTCCCTTTTCCCTCCCTCTCCAAAGAGGCCCATCTGTCACTCCTGCTGCTGTCACAGCTGGGAATCTGCAGCCCCACCCAGCAGTGAAAGAGACAGAGTGGATGTGGCTCCCTGAGGCTACAGGGCTCCTTGCTCCCCACCTTCCACAGGTTTCCCTCCAGGAGCCCCAGGGCTGACAAGGAATGGTCCCAAGTTGGCCCTGGCACATAGGGACGAAATACCCCCACCCTCCACCCAGGACCCAAGCAAACCCCCTTCCCATCCTCCCACCCAGAGAAGGGAGCCTCCTGAGGGCCCAGGCCTGTGTGGGCTGGAAAGTAAGCAGTCCTTCTGGTGTCTGCAGGCCGAGAGGGTCCGGTGGGAGGACAGCTCCCTGGTCTAGGTTTGGTTAGTTTGCAAAGTAACCAAATTCTCAGCAGGAACTGGAAAGACCAACGGCAGAGCTGTCACAGGGGGGTAACAGGATTACAGAAAGTCAACGGGAGGTGGAGGGTCGGTGAGCACTGCCCCATACAGTTCCCACTGGCCACACGTGGCTACGGAGCGCCCAACATGTGGAAGGGCTACTGAGGAGCTGAATTTTTTATTTGATTTCATTTTAATTCTGATTGAATGCATGAGTGGTTTTTGATACAGCCCCAAACCCTGGGGCCCAAAAATGCCTGGGAAACAGCTGGATGGTAACTCCAATCCATCATTTTTTAATTAGCTTCTAGAAAAAAAGCCACAAATTCAAAAACTCAAAAGTTTATTAGCTTGATATAATTAGGTCCATGGACCCCTATTTTAATCTCTGGTTCTCACAGTGCAAGATATGAAGGTGAAATTATTTGTATTAAGACAAAGGTAAACATCTAATTAAGTTGGGCTTTTATCTACCTGAAGTTATAGTTCATGCTTCCATGGCTTTGCAACATCAGTCATTTTAAAAGATGTCCTCCACTGGAGAACAGAAAGGTTACACCTGAGCTGCCAGCTGGTTCAGAATAGCACCAGGATTTTTCTAATTTTAAGATATTACTCTACCAATCAAATTCTTCAGGTACTAACCTATTTTTAAAATTTTTATTTAGGTACATATTTTTTAATATATTTTTATTGATTTCAGACAGGAAGGAAGAGGGAGGGAGAGAGAAACATCAATTATGAGAGAGAATCATCGACTGGCTGCCTCCTGCACGCCCCCTACTGGGGATCAAGCCCGCAATCTGGCCATGTGCCCTTGACCAGAATCAAACCCTGGGCCCTTGAGTCTGCAGGCTGACACTCTATCCACTGAGCAAAACCAGCCAGGGCTATTTTAGGTACATATTTAAAAATTATTTCATACATTAACATTTCCTACTGAATCTGTGTTTCAGGTGAAGTAATGAATTTCAGGATTCCTTGATTTATTTTATACAAAGAAATTAAATAAAATGATTAAATATTTCAAAGCCAATTTCCAGACAAACACTATCATGTGAAAAGTTTGCATTGGCCACTGCTAAATGTACTTGCTCAGCCATTCGAGTAAATTCCTTCTTGCCTCATCAATATAGGGCTTATCTTCAGGTGAACAATCTTCTCTCTTTCGATGCACAAACCCATGAGTTTGCCCGGAAAATGTTTTAATTTGATACTCCACTTTGCAGTGTTCTTTCAACTTTTGGGTCAGCGAAGAGACCTGGTATGCAAAGATTTTCACGATGAAATGGTATTTCCTAATCTCTAAATCTCCTCATAAAAGAAATTCAACATCAATGCTTTAAATTGAGTTCCATAGCCATAATGAATTTTTTACTTTTAATGTTATAACCAACACAGTCCTTACCTTTGGCAAAGGAGAGAATTCGGGGCAATATAAAAACAATACAACATCAACTATTTTAAACTGTATAATTTAACTTATTCAAGTATATATAACATACAATATTCAATATATTTAATATAAATTTCAATATATTCAAGTATAAACTATTTGAAATATGTATTAATATAAAGTATTGCTTATGAATAATAACAATAATTTCCAAATGACTGCTTTTGAACCACAATTTTCATCTGTGTTTCCCTTACCAACTCCAGGATTGCACATGTGGGGACAGGAGGCAGGGCCTCATCCATGCCTGGTAACCAGGTCACGCCAAGAGCACTTTGGGGAGGGTTGAAATCACCCTGTACGTCCCCAATGAAACCCAACTTTAAAACTAATGTTAAAAATGAAAACTTTTTGAAAACTTAATGTTGAAAAATATTTGGAGCAACCAATGAACATTTTGGTATGTTTCCCCCAAATGTCAAATCATGTTATTAAATATGCAAAGAGAAAAGACGCCAACTTACTTGATCAAGAGGAATCACAGCATCGTTTTCTGCAAAAATGAACAACGTGGGGTTCTTCAAACTGTGCACGTCATCAGAATCCTTGACGATGCCTGCAGGATGGGAACAAGAAAACTAAGAGGAAATATCGGGGGAAGCGAGGAGGGAGATAGAATCCAGACAGCTTGGCAGGATTCCTGCGGAAGGCAGGCCAGGGAACAAGATACAGAGGATGGGGGGAGTGTGTGGGGGGGGTCAGGGGAGGGATGAGGAATTTGATCAGGTATTAAAGGTGAGGGAACCTCCTAAACTGACCCAGTAAGCCAAGGACAGAGTTGAAGGTCTGAGCCTACTCGGAGAGGAATAGAGGAGCCTGACTCGAGTTTGGTCAAGGAGAGTCCTAGTCAGTAGGAGGGAGAAAATAATGGCTGGCTTTTCCTCCCATTTCCTGTTGGCAGCAAAGCGAAGCTAAGTAACCTAGATAGCCTCCCCTCACCTGTAAGTCCTCTCTAGGAGTCAGAGAGCCACAGGACAGATGGCGGGGCACGCTCCCCGCCCCACTGCATGCATGGCTGGACAGCGATTTGATGACCTGCCACTCCACAGCTCCTGCACTGTGCAACAGAGGCCAGAAGAGGGTACCAGAGAGCTGTTCACGCAGGAGCACCTTTTGCTAATTGGCACAAATGGACTGCATATTCTAACAACGCCGGTGACAACTGAAAATTTACTCCTTTCATGTAAAATAAATACTTAAAGGGATTTTTTAATGCTAAAACTAAGCAAAAATACTACAGTGAGGAACATTAAGCCAAATGAGAATCATTAATATAACTATATGATATATATTTGAAAGAAGGCCAAATTTTCTTCTTTTTTTTTTTTAACAATTTTTTATGGTCTGACTGCTTCTATATTGTGAACTTAGTATGCCATTTCTATACACAGACAGAATGTTTTTATCAGTGCTATGATACCTTTGGTTTGTTTGGGCTGACATGTTTATGTTGCTATTTACATTTCAGAGTAAGGAAAACTTACTCTGAAATGCAATGTAAACCTTCTTTATAGAGTGTGTGTGTGGGTGGGTGGGGGTGCAGTTGAGAATAATTTTTGTCTTGGAAAAATCTTTTCTAAATATCCTTCATGCCGAAACCGGTTTGGCTCAGTGGATAGAGCGTTGGCCTGCGGACTGAAGGGTCCCAGGTTCGATTCCGGTCAAGGGCATGTACCTGGGTTGCGGGTGCATCCCCAGTAGGGGGTGTGCAGGAGGCGGCTGATCGATATTTCTCTCTCATCGATGTTTCTAACTCTCTATCTCTCTCCCTTCCTCTCTGTAAAAAATCAATAAAATATTTTTAAAAAATCAATAAAAAATATCCTTGGGTGAGGATTAACAAAATGAAAACAAAAAAAATCGAAATATCCTTCATAAAAATATTGCTTAGTATTAACCATTATCACAGAAACAAATGTTATCCCCTTTGTCCCAAGTGAAGAAACAGAGATGTCAGGTGACTTTCCCAAAGCAACACTTTTGGGACCCAGGTCTCCCTACTCCCAGTGACATCCTCTGGTTACTGCAGTACAAACCTTCACCTGGACTTTCAGACTTTTAAAGCCAATTTCATGACCACTGGGTTTTGTGTTACACCTGGGACCCTTAGCTTGGGAAGAGGCTCATGGCATGGTCACCCACGAATTCTCCTCTGTTCACTGTAAACTGTACAAGGCAGATTTACCGTACACGGACACCCCTGCCCTGAATTCTGGGTATTTCATCATCACGTGATGGACAGCAATTCCTCCCCAGCAGAATCCCACGACGCCAATTTTCTGGGCGTGACACTGTTGTTTCAGATACCTCAAGACAGCATCCACCTCTCTGGAACAGAAAGAAAAGTTACTCATGAGTCAAGAGGTATTTTGTGAGGCCCTGGGAAGGGCACTGGGCAGATAACGGGGGTTATCTGCAGCTCTTCCTTGAGGTTCTGAGATTCTTACTTTCTGAGCTGCCTCCTCACCCCCTCCTGCCCAGTGACGAGTGACGCCTCTCCTGGCAAGTCTCCCTGCCAAGCCCAGCTCCTCCAACCATCTGACAGGGCTGCAGGCAGGCTCTTTCCAAAGACCAGCAAATCCCACCAGCTCACTGCCCAGCTGAAAGCTGAGTGACAGCCTTCCCCAGGCTCAGCGTAAAGGCCAAAGGCCACAGCATGGCCCTAAGACCTGACCCCAAGATCTGTCCCTGCCCAGCACCCCAGGCTCCTCTCCTCTCAACAGGCACCAGTCACAACTGGGCAGCTCCCCAAACTCTCTGACTTGGCACATTGACTTCCCCTGCCTAACCCACTCTGTACCCAAAGAGTAGAGAAAGATTTGGAAAGCCACCAGGACCACTTAAGCCATGAGGGGACTAAGGGCAGTAGCCCTTGCTTTGCAGACAGTTCATTTGCAAATTGGTTATTTGGAACAACTCAGAAGGCATTTTCAGCTAGAAGCAATGTACTTAATTCGAGGGTCACGGCCATCCAAGTCCTACTCGGAGGGAGGGTAGGTGTCTGGACAGTGAAGCCAGACCCACCTCTCCCTCAGGACTCTGCTCTCCTGGGTTCCCTGGGGGACACCACAAACACAGCCACCCCCACCGATTACTTACTTATCGATCTTTCTGGCATTCCTTGTTTTCAACCACTCTGGAAAAGTGGACCAGTCCCCAGAGGGGTGCCATGGCTCCTGCCCTACAAAGAAGTCTGGAACGATGGTTCTGTAAATTAGGGACAGTAATTGATTTTAGTTTCTGTTGCTGTTGGGACTCAGTGTTTGCCTACGTTCATTAAGAAATGTGCTACGTTGGCGATTCTCACTCAAAGGAAAAGAGAAGTCACGGCCACAAGGGCCAACTTTGATCACAGCAAAGAGGCCAACTGGCACTAGGCCAAACCATCTCGGATTTCACAACCGAAGGGGCACGGCCTCTGGCAGCCTGTTTATAGCCCAGCCCATCTAAAGTGACCAGGCGACTCAGCAGTGCACACACCCCAGGAGATATTGCCGCAAAGGACAAGGGGACCCACCAGCAAGGGCCTGGAGTAAGGTGGGCCCCTCCCGTCCCCAAACCCCTCAGCTGGCCTTTCACATTAGCCTTAGGTCAGAAGGGCACACCTGGTTAGCATGTCCAGTCACTATGACCAAGCAATTTTCCCTAGCTCCGCCCAGCATGCCAGCAGGGCACAGTTTACTGCCGGATGGTGTAGTCTAATGAGGGCTCTAGAAGGGGCCACGGCGAACAGCCAGCTTGCCCGAGTCCATGTTGATTGTAGGGGAGGAAAACATTTCCCTCCTTCCCTTCTAGGTTCTTTGGCTGGTCTGATAATTATCTACATTAATAAAAGGGTAATATGCTAATTAGACCAGGCATCTTCCAGACGACCTTCCAGACGTCCTTCCAGGACAAAGCCATGGTGGTGGGGCCGAGGCAGAGGCAGTTAGGGGCGATCAGGCGGGCAGGGGAGAGCAGTTAGGGGAATCAGGCAGGCAGGCAGGTGAGCAGTTAGGAGCCAGCGGTCCCGGATTGCAAGAGGGATGTCCCACTGCTAGTTTAGGCCCAATCCCTCTAGTATTGACATAAGACAGACAAACAGGTGAAAAACAAATCCGATTTTGTGGATGAAAAAAGGGGTTCTATGGAAAGTAACCTCACAGGGTCATCTGATCATAAATTCCTTAACTGGGCAGCTGGTGGTGGGTAGTTATGTCCCAGGCATATACTTTTTTAGTAAAAGGTTTTTGTTTGCCTTAAGCAAGCCCTTTCCATAGTTTCTGGGCATCTAGGTTAACACATCTTTGAAATAAGCATAACCACCCTCAGAAGAGCACATACTCTTGTTAACTCTCCTGTAATTCAATCCCCACCTTGCTTCTCCCACCTCCGTGTAATCTTCCATGCTTTCCCTCCTTAATTCCAAAATGTGCCGTTTACTACTTCCTGTTATTCTCAGGAGCATGGGAGATCTTGCTCCCTGGCACATGTCTTCAGTTTGGCTTAAATAAACTCTTATAAAAATTTTCTCCAGGTTTGAACATTACTTATGTCAACAATTTCACAAGTACGGGCACCTCATAAAAATATGAGACCTAAAGGCAGTCAGTCAGACAATTGAAGCTATATGCCCCCCTGTGCTAAGGACCCGGATAGGGCTTCAAAGGGAAGATTAAGTCACAGGACAATAAAAGACCAGGGGGTTGGTATTTAGAAGTCTGTCCTGCCCACAGGTAGGTCATTCAGGCAAAAGTTATCTCTGGTAATAGCGCTCTTTCTGTGTCAGGCCCCCTGTCTAAACTCTTTTAGGTAAGTAAGGGAGGGGTAAAAGTTTTTCTTGAGTCTGCTGGGCTTGAGCGCCTTCAGCTCCAAGTAATGCCCATGCCAAGCAGCAATCATCTAACAATGTCCAGGCCCATGTTCTCCATCTGAGAAACAGACTGCACTCAGCCCCGCCCGACCTCAGAGGATTACTTTGAGAGAAAAATGAGTTGTACACGTGTGAAGGGCTCTGTAAATCACAGGCGTCTGGACTCTTTATCTCAACCAAAGCAACCACCTGAAACAACAGAAGCCGCAGCCCCATTTGATCAGTTGCTCGGGGCTGGGTGACCTGAGGCACCTGGTCTTCACGCCCTGGTTTCCTACTCGGGGGAAATGAGAACAATGAGGAGGGGTCGTGGGGAGGACAGCAGCCCTTCACAGCCTGCACGCAGGGGCTGGCTGAGCCAGAGGCAATCAGGGCTGGCTGTCCTTTGTTTTATTACCCGGCTTGCCGCTGGGATGTTAAATTGCCTCATCTTTAAAATAAACTGGAGGATATTAAAAAGTGAAAAATCACGTGAACCCTCTTTTTAGTCAACACCTAAATCTGCATCACACAGCAGGGGGGCTGCTTCCTTTAAATCGGATTCTTTTCATAGGAAAACCTGGAAAGTGCACCCTTCGATTTCCAGCTTCTCTTTTGGAGAAAACAAAGGAAATGGGGTGCTCCAAACTCAGGGCTTGCTGGGGTTCACGCATTCTGAAGCTGGAGAGGAAGGAGTGGTTCCTCTCCTCCTCCAGGCGTCACTGTAGCTGTTACCTACACCAGGGCAGGTGAAAAGCAAACAGGTGGCAGCATTCTCCACGCGACCCGACAAAGGCAGAACCTTTGGGAGACAGTGAGGTCTCACTGGGCCAGTGCTGGAACCCAGTCTAATTCAGACGGGGCATGATAGTCCGAGGCTGACACGCTCCAAGGGCCAAGTAATGGGTCGTCTCAGAGCTAGTGAGGTCTGCCCAAGGACACATGTCCTGTACCTGTGCCCCGCAGGGCCCCACATTGAGGGCATCCCCAGGAAGACCTGAAGTCCGGGGATTCGGTGGCCTCTGGTGGACAGCAGGTGGGTGTTTTAAGTTTCATATGACATTTCCCATGTACCCGCACCCCAGAGAGATAAGGAAGTAGATAATGTAAATTAGGGACTGGATAAGAGAAGGTGAGGAGATTAGCCAAAGAACACATATGCATAACCTGTGGACACAGGCAATAATGTGGTGCTGGCCAGAGGGGAGGGGGGGTGGGGCTGGGTGGAGGTGGGCAAAAGAGGGGGGAAAGGGGACATCTGTAATAGTGTCAGCAAAAGAAATAGTTTTTACAAAAAGAATACAGTCAGGGATTTGGGGGTTGTTTTTGTTTTCCCTGAAGGGAACACAACATAGATCACAGAAATGTCCATGGATTTTATCAAAGAAATGGAATTTTATACGCACGTGTATCCATTTCCCGAGATCATGTCAGCCATATATCTGGTATTGGGCATCTCCCAACCGAATATATCTTGAATGACAATCACGGCTTTGCCAGCGTCAACAGGGGATCTGGTGACATAAGCCTTGATATGCTCCACTTGAACTTCACGCCCCATCCCTCCATACTCCATCTTATGGCCAATGTCACAGGGACAAGGATGAGCTTCGTTAGCCATTGGAGATATTTAAGTCGGGCTGCAGAGAGAGAAACATGCCTTATATTCCAAATGGGGCAAGTCTGAAGATTTTGAACAGCAAATAAACTACAATCAAGATTACAGGAAAATACTAATTTTAACTCTACTCCTGTATACTCATGCAAGAAATGAGTGCTGGTATTTGGTCCATCTGAAGACATCACAGGAAACAACTTTATATTAACTTAACATATTCTCATATACCTTTAATATGTGTAATATCTATTAGGCACACCTTTAATATCTGTTTTCTAAAAGAAAAAAAAAAACAATATTGGCTGCTGGTTCTGGCAACACCTCAGGTTGGAGCTAATAAGACTCGGTTCACATTGCAAACACTAGAAATACCAGAGTGAGTGTAACAGCAAACAAGAACACAACATGGTGGAGCTCATAGGAAGAAGGGAACAGCACCAGGGCTGGAACTGGAGAGGAAGCCAAAACCAGGGTGAGGGTGCGGGAGCAGATGCTGCCTGAGAGCCCGGCGAGGCTGGAGACAGCCCAGACCCGGGACCACCCTAACCCAGTCTGGATTCTGGGTCCAGTCAGGCGTCGGGAACCCATGAGATGGGATTTGTAGCTGAGACCTCTCCACGCAACATCAGAGCCTCAAGGGTTCAGAGTTAGTGGGATAAATAAGAAACTACAGCAAAGGAAAACTGTGGAATGTGTGAGGAAGCCAAGGAGGTTATAAAAAGAAACCATCACCCCAATTTACAAGATCCTTTGTTTCAAGTAGGAAAACCTGGCTGAGTAATGAACATAACTGGCTCTGGGCATCTGGCAGAGGCAAAAGCAAATCTATTTTATAGCCAGACTTTCACAATCCAGGCCGAAAATGCTACCCATGGAAAAGGAACTCACTATAAAGTGCCACATGGGAGGAAGCGCTCCAAATAAACAATAATCAGGAGAAATTATGGTGATAGCGTGGGGAGGAATGAGGACAGGACCTACCTAGCAAGCTTCACCAAACAAACTGAAAGCAGGAGAGGAGAGGAAAGAAAAACTGAACCTATCCACTGCAATGGGAGAAAGTATGTGGCTGAAATCGATCCAAATAAATAGAAATAGATTAAACTCACCATATGAGACAGATTCTCAAAATGAATTTTTAAATGTTGAGGTACCATCAGAAAGGAGAACATGGAAACACGGAACCCAAAGATGTCCCTACAGATACAATGACCAGAGGTCTGGCATTTGCTTCAGAATAGCCCAGCGGATGGTGGCAGTGGGAGGGAGCGTGTCCCTGTGTCACAGTGTTGGAACTGGGTGGTAAGTTCAGAAGCGTCCTTTGTACTAGTCTGTCTACTTTTATTTTTTATATATTTTAATTGAATTTTAGAGAGAAAGGAAGAGAGAGGGATAGAGAGATAGAAACATCGATAAGAGGGGAAATCATCAATTGGCTGCCTCCTGCATGGCCCCCACTGGGGATCAAGCCCACAACCCAGACATGTGCCCTGACCGAGAATCAAACTGGTGACCTCTTGGCTCCTGGGTCAACGCTCAACTGCTGAGCCACATCAGCCAGGCTCTACTTTGATATATGCTTAATATTTTCCTCAACAACAACAACAAAAAAATTAACTTTTATTGAAATTTTTAAAACGATAAGATAAACATAGCAAGAAGATGAGATATGGACTAAGATAACATATCATTCTTAAAGCAGATTTTGTATCTAGATAAAATATATGAAGAATTTTTATAAATCAAGAAGAAAAAGACAACATCAACAGAAAAATGCTCCAAAGATATTGAGTGGGCCATTCACAAAAGGGAACACCTGAATGATATGAAAAGATAATCAAGGTCACTAGTATTTAAGAAAATTATACAAAGAACATCAATGACATACCATTTTACGTCATCTTGAAGATTGTCAATAAGTGCGTTAACACTAAGAGACGGTGTCCATGGAATATAAGCTGATACAAACTCTAAACTTATGTATGTCAAGGTCTAGCAATGATGAAGACACCCTGCAACCCAGAAATCCCACCACTTGGTATATTCCCTAGAGAGATTCACGTGTGTGTGTGTGTGTGTGCATGCGTGTGTGTGTGTGTGTGTGTGTGTGTGTGTGTGTGTGTGTACCCATGCATGCATGCAGTGGGTGGTATGGAAGTACACTGTTGGTAGCACAGATATGATGGCAAAAATTGGAAGCAACTAATTGACCATGAGGAGAAGAATGGGATAAACTGTGATTCGTTCATTGTTGTGGTTTGAATTCTGTCCCCGCAAAAGGATAGGTCAAGTCCTGACCCCAGAACCTGTGAGTGGGACCTTATTCATTAACAGGGTTTCACAGAGGGTAATCGAATTAGGATGAGGTCGTCCTGGTCAGGGTGGTGCTCACCTAATTACTGACTGGTGTCCTTGCCAGAAGAGGGAAATGTGGGTATAGAGACAGACACACAGCAGAGAAGGAGTGATGCAACCGCAAACCAAGGACCCTAGGGATGGCCACTCAACCTCAGAAACTGGGAGACAGGCAAGGAGGTCTTCTCCTTTAAAGGTCTAAAGAAGAGCATGGTCCAACCAACACCATCGTTTAGGACTTCAGGCCTCCACAACTGAATAAGTTTTTGAGAGAATAAATTTCTGTTGTCTTAGGTCACCCAGTTTATGGCAACCCTAGGGCACAAAAAAAAAAACTCATAAAAGGAATACTGCATAGCAGTTCAATGAACAAACTATACATATCAATATGATAAATCTCAAAAACATAATGCTATAACAATGACAATAGCTTTTTTAATGCTAAGTAAATACTAAAACCCCCAAATAATACATATATTATTAATAAACATAGGGTTTTAACGTATAACTCAAGAGAATGAAGCACATCACCATTAGAGAGTGGTTATTGGTGGGGAAAGGAGATTATTGTCTTTAATTGTATTTGTTGTATTTTATTTCCTTAAAAAGTTTTGATTTGAAATACATAAGAAAAAAAGAGAATGTTTTTTAAAAATCTAGGTCACGTGAATATGGGTGCAGCTATGTTCTATCATGTACTTTGCAGAACATTCTACATGTTCATAACTAGAAATAACGTAATTTTAAGGAAAGAGAAATTAAGAGCTAGCCATTTGATCACAGGAAATTTGATTCTATTTTGTATGGCTTTTGTTCATAAGCTACATTATAAAATGATGATTCGTAAGAGAAGTCAGAACAATCCAGTATCCGTAGCAGTGCATTTTATGTCCACTGCACTGTTGTTGGGAGCTGATTCCTTGGGCTGATTCCTTACCTGGGCTGTCCTGAGGGCGAGGAGACCACGGAAAATCCTGATCCTTCCAAATTAGCCTTGAATCTGAGTATTTTAACTTTATCGTCAGTTGATATCCACTCTCCAGAAGAAGTGTTTACAGCCAGGAGACCCACTCTCTGGACTGATCCTGCAAGGTTATTCTCCTGCAGAAAGGGGAGGTGCCAGGACAGGACTGGGTGTGCTGTGTGTGGAAGTCTGGGCTCCTGCCAGACTCTTCACGTGGCACAGCAGCCTGTGTGAACAGGGCCAAGGTCACGGTGGGCAGGGCGGTTTCTACAGACTGTACCCCATCGTGGGGTGAGAGCCCTAGGGAACATGCCCTTGACTATCCACTACCTCTAAAGAAATTTTCTATATGCATAGACCTTTCAAGATTATGGCTCTTTCCCCCCAAAAGACACATTTGTTAAAAGGTAATTTTTTTTAAAAAAAAAAAAGGAAAATCATAGATATAAGATGAATACATTAAAGATTTTATTTTACACATATGACAGGAGGGAATGAGATAGGTGTTATATAACTGGTTCAAAGGACAAAGGAAAAAGAACACAAATTTATATGTCATAAAGGAGGATTGAGATGAATTGCAAGTGGAGACAAAACAGATTTTCCACTGGAGGGGAAGAAGCCAATTAAATCTCTATCAGATAGGACCGAATTTACAAATCTATCAGTTACCCACGACTTTCAAAGAGTTGCAATCTCATTCAAATACAATGAACAGGGCTAGAATCAGACAGCCCAGAAGGGTGTGCTGTGGATAGTGAGTACTTTTCCATTGAAACCGTTTTTTCTATATGACCTTAGAGGGTCATTCATTGTGAGTGGTAAGGCTTCAGTTTCCTCCTAGAAAGGATGGGCTGTGGGTCTAACATGGATGATGGGGTCCTCAGAAAATGTGTGTCCAGAAAGGCTTTTCTGTAACATGGCAGCTGGGCTTAGCAACACATCCTGCCACCCTTGAGACCAGCTCTTTGGTCCCCACTGGGGAAGCCTCTAGAAGCCAGGGGCCTCTTTATGGCATCAGGGCTGGCCAAGATGTGCTCCTGCAGAGGACACCCTAATGGGCACGCTCATTGGCAATGCCACACTGAATTCACCACTAAAGCCCGTGGTCCCTCCCATAACATTCATGCAAGATGCCACATCTGTGCGAATGACTGCCAAGCCCACTCCCCTCCACACGGATGGTCCCTTGATAAAGAGTCTCTCCTTGACCAAACTCCTCTGAGCCCTCTTCTCCATTAGGCCCTGACTTTTGGGCTTCCAAGTCCATCTCTGCATTGCCCAGTTTTAGTAAGAATCCTGCTAAGTCAGTTTATCAGAATGCCCCACCCTCCATATCTGATCCTGACCCGCCCCCTCTGCCATCCCCCAGGTGATGTCTAATGCCCTTGGCTTTGTCTTCTGCCAAAACCCTGTCAAGTCAGTTAGCAGGATTCCCCGAACCCTCATGCTTCGTTAGTAGTTTTCCTTCCACTGACCCCTACTCAGATCCTTCACTACAAATCCCCACTTTTCCTTGTTGTAGTCAGAGCGGAGCCCAATCTCTCTCCTACTGCAAAATCCCATTGCACTGGCCCATACGCGCCTGTCTCGGTGGCCCTGAATAGGGTCTGCCCTGTTCTTTAACAAGTGTCATGAATGAGTAATCTTCTCCTGCACAGCCTCCAGCCCTCTTCACACAGCAAGTGCCTCCACATTACAAGCCCATGGCGATCACTGGTGCGCACTGGATCTGCAGATCCCAAGAGGCTGCCATCTCCTATCTGAAGGTTACCTTCCCCAGGCAGTCCTCTACCCCATGTAAATTTGTCCTTCTTGACTTCTTTTTTAAAAAATATTTTAAAATTGATTTCAGAGAGGAAGAGGGGAATGGGGGGAGAGAGATGGAAACATCAATGATGAGAGAGACTCATTGATCCGCTGCCTCCTGCATGCACCACACTGGGGATGGAGCCCGCAACCCGGGCATGTGCTCTGACTGGGAATCGAACAGGGACCTCCTGGATCTTAGGTGGACGCTCAACCACTGAGCCATGCCGGCCGGGCTTGACTCCTTTTTTTAACCAGTTATAATATCTTCCTGGTCCTCTCTTTAATAAATTAAACAGAACCGTTAACACGTGCTCATTTTTATATCTGTGGGAGAGTCATGACTTGACCTTTCGCGGAAAATTTTGTCTTCTAACAGTATAATTGAACAACATTCCCTTTTTCTCGCCGGAAGTCAGAAAGGCGAGAAATGAGTCTAACGCTTGGTGAGCAAGTGTGGTTTTCCTGCTTTCACACCCCCCAGCCCCAGGATTTAAATAACTCGGAAGTCATACTTCCCAACGCAGTCAAGATCTCCGCCAGGAATGGAGAAAACAGGTTTTGACGAGCGAAGGAGATTGGCGGAGATGGGGCTGTAACATGCAAAGAAGTATAGGAATACATTTCTGGAAGCTTCGGAGATTTAGAAATAGAAACCATCTGCAAGCTCCTCCGCAAAAGCAACACTGAAAGATAATACGGGAGGGGCGGTGGCTAGCGGGGAATGGAAGGCTGGGCGTTTTTCCTTTCCCTGGGTAAACACTGTGGGAACGTGCCTGGAAACCGATTTGCGATCCTGCAGGGGAAGGCAGGCCCCTGCCCCTCCTTAGACGAGTCTGTGAACGCCAGCTCCCCCGAGGATGATTTGACAGCAGTCGAACTAGTGTTTTCTCTCGGTGCGTGCTCAGACAGCATCAAGGAGAAAGCTGGGCGCGGTGCGCGCGCGCTGGCCTGGGAGCGCGCCAGGGCGCAGCTGCCTTTGACCTTTCCTTGGGCGCTTTCAAACCTAGATAGGATTTCCCCGGATACTCGAAGGGCTCCCTTCTGACCACCTCGTTATACATGGTCTTTTGAAGGCATTTTCCATCAGCAAGAAACCTAAATGGCAGTACCCGCTGTTGGCAAGGCCTGGGCAAGGCGACACTTCTGCCTCCCGACCCACGGCGGTGGGTGTGGACTGCGCACTCCTGCTCGGCAGCACGTACCCAGCAGCCAGCGCGTCGCACTCGTAGACCCAGCACCTCCTCCCTGAATAGCCACCCTTTAAAAAATACCGCCAAATGTGGCCAACGATCTTGATGCAAATCTGCTCATTCCCCCCCCCCCGCCCTCCACCCCGTAAGAGTAGTAAAAACTATACAACCCAAATGTTTCACTGGGGGAAAATCGTTACAGAGAGTATTTAATGGCACGAAGGAAAGGCTTCTGACAAGCCTTTGGGAAAAAAACGAACACGCGTTTCTACACAGTACGATTTCAACTATTTTCAAAATGCGTGGCCAAACTATACAGGAAACTATGCCCACCCAGGTGGAATGGCGAGGGCGGCTGTTCTGCGGTAACAATGTACTGCTTCGATGAAAGTGGGCTTTTGAAAATGGGCTTGCCGGGCTCAATACCTGTGCACATGGCAAAGCCCTCCTGTACCTTGTGCCAACACCCCGTTGAGTTAGCGGAGCTGAGATCCGGCGCGTTTCTACGACCGGGAAGCGCACGTACCTCGTCGCCGCCAGCAAACTGTCTACCGCGCGGAGGAGGCGAGACCCGGAGGGGGCAACGCCACAGCCCGGCTGAGCCCGAAGCCACGGTCACCGGGGAGCCGAGTGGGAGGCGCCTTCTTCCCGGGCGGAAGTGGACGCGGTGACCGAGGGCGCCGGGAACCCTTTGGGCCAGTGGCTGCCCCGGGAAGAAGGGGAGGCGGGCTGTGGGAGGGGTGGAGAGGCCCTCGGCCGGGTGAGGGAGGTGAGAAGGGAGGAGGAGGAGAGGGAGGGAGGGAGGGAGGGAAGGAGGCTTGGAGGAGGAGGACAACCCGCCTGTGAAATTTACAAGTGTGCCTGGCTCCTAAGACCTGGAACTTCTTTGTTGTAAATCAAAATTAGGCTATTCTTAAAAATGAATTACTGCATATTCCTACTGGCCCTCCCCCACCGCACCCCCACTCCATTTTTTTTTCTGGTCAGCTGATCAGAAAAGGTTGTTGATAATTGTCTTTGTAAGAAACGTCCAAACCCGTAGAGAATTTTTATGAGTTTATTTGAGCCAAACTGAGGACAATTGCTGAGAAACCAAATCTCAGGGGATTGAGAAAATGCTCTAGAATGGCAGTTTTGCAGCTTGTGTTGTGTGTTAGAATAAAAGGAGGAGACATTAGGAGGGTTACATAAAATTTATTGGTGGTAGATTAAGGGTTGGGAGAAAAGCAAACCAGACAGATCTCTAGGATTAGATAAAAAAACAAAATGGTACCACTTTGGTGGGTACAGGATTAACTAATAACATTGAGAACACATAGGATGGTATGTGGGCAACAAAACGAGGGTGTGGGTTTCTGTGTCATGCTCTGGCGCTGGCAGTTGTGGGATCTGGAAAAGAAGATAATTCTGACATTTCAAAGGTATGTTATCTTAGATGCACAAAGACAATAGACAGGCTCACTTAAGGTAAAGATTGATTTGTCAAGGAAGCGATAGGCCGAGGAATGACTACCTGCCATGACCCAGTTTTGTTAGGAATTTATGATCACAGCATTCTACGTGGCTACTTTCAGTCTCTGCGTGCTTGTTTGTTTTTGAAGAAAGATGATAAAAATTACAACGTTATATGGCGAACTATAGCTGAATGGCATTGTGATTCTAAGACGCAGAATGAGAACAAACGTTAGAAAGAATACATTGGGAATCCAATTTAATTCAACAAGGTATTTTTGTGCAAGATATTTTGTTAGGTACTTCTGTGATACAAAGATGAGGAAGACAAAGTCAGTTTCGAGTATGTACAAGCTGTGGATGTAGAAAGGGTATAATAACCGAGAAAATTAAATGCAAAGCAAAATCTGATGAATGCCATAGGAAAGCTATAAATAGCAAGCACTGGAAAAAATAGAGGAGGGAGCAATCATACTGCTCCAGTGGAGAGAAGGTGGATCAGGATCAGGAAGGGGTTCAAGGAGAATGTGTCACCAGTAGGTGAAAGATGAGCAAGTTTTGAAGAGACAATGATTGGAGAAGAGGGATATACTAGTATTCTAACTGGAGGTACTAGTAATAGTATGAACAAAAAGCATACTGAAGGCGAGATGAGTGGTCCAGCTTGTTTAAATGTTTTAAGGAACATTTAAAGCCGTTTGAGATGCTTGTACAGACCTCAGTAAGCAATGGAGAGGCACTGGTAGATTGTATGTAGAGTGTGACACAAAGCTACACTCGAATATGGAAGGTGCAGGACTGAATAAAAGGAGGGCAGTAGGTCATTTAAAGAAATCAAACTTCTTTAGCAGTGCATCAATAAGTGAGCAGCTGATGTCATTCCAAACAGACATCCTGGTATTCCTGTTGGTATTCCTCAGGATGCTAACGCAGTTTCTTCTCTTTTGTATCCCTAAGTGATCTCATTGACTCCTCCCACTCCCGCTTTTTTTATTTATTCTTTTTTTTGCTTGTTTATCTCTCTCTCTTTTTACTTTTCTTGGTGTTTTCTTTCTTTCTTTCTTTTTCTCAAGCCTTAGTGAACTTTCCACCTATTGATCATTCCAAAATACTTGGCTTCTGCTGAGATTTCTCTCTGAGTCGTTTTTGTTTGTTTTGTCTCTAAGAGTTAAGGACTTTTTATTTATTGTTTATTTTTCTTTCTTTTTTCCCTCCTTATTGAATTGATTGGGGTAACACTAGGTAACAAATTGGTCATCAGTTTGGCTGAAACAAACTCTCTACAGGTTTGGACATTCTTACAGGATCATGTGTTATCTTGCAGTTGATGAACCTTGCTTTCACATGTCTAGTAATCTGAGGTTTCTTAAGATAGAGTCTATGAGTATTCTCCTGTCTAAACACCAGAGCTCATTGAGCGGGTGACTCCTGCCCCATCAATTTCTGCTTACCCCAAGACATGTCCTTTCTGTTTGGATTCCGTTTCCTTAACTAGGAAATAAAATGGAGGATTAAACAAGATTTGGTTCTCAAACTTTAGCATGCATCAGAGTCCCCTAGAGGTCTTGTTAAATCGCAGAGCACTGGGCCTCAACCACAGAGCCTCTGGCTCAGGACGCCCAGGGTGGACCCTAGGAAATTACAAGCCCAACAAGATAGGTGATGACCCTGATGCTCCTGGTCCAAGGACCACACTTTGAGAGCCACTAGACCACAATCACAGTGACTAGCAGACTCCCTTGGTTGATCATCAGAATCACCTAGGGCAGTGGTCGGCAAACTGCGGCCCCTTGAGTGTGGCTCTTCCACAAAATACCACGTGCGGGCATGCACGTACAGTGCAATTGAAACTTCGTGGCCACACTCAAGGGGCCAAAGAGCCGCATGTGGCTCACGAGCCGCAGTTTGCCAACCACTGACCTAGGGAACTTATAAAATTCAGATGTCGTGGGCTCAGACCTTCGGAACTATAATCTTCAGGTGTGGCACTGGGGAATCTGTGTTTCAAAAGGGCTCCCCAGATGACTCTTATGATGGACCAAGTTTAGAAACTAATTGAACTAGAAAATCTGTACAGGTCATGTCAGTGTCAAACTTCCATGATTTTGTTTTGGTTCCGCTGAAGGAGGGCAGGTACAACTGTCAGGATGGAATATTCCTAGTGGCTTGCTCAAACTGGAAATATACCAGGAAAGGGAATTCTGGGGAAAATATCTCAGTCTAGCCAAGTGGGTGCATTACCAAACCATGGGTACTCTCCAGTCCTCCTCACTGCAGAAGTGTTATCTTGCTAGATGTACATAGATTTACTATCAAACAGATCCCTTCACACCCCATTCAGAAACACCAGCAAACAAATTATTTTACTGCCTTCAGATTTTTCCACAATAATTTTTTTTTTTACATCTGAGTAATTCAAAGAAATCACAAAAGTGTTATCACCCAGAGCAAACTGAGGACCGGGAACAAATCCTTGTTTCTATCCTAAAATGCACAAACTGCTTGCTTGCAACACCCAAAACGGCAGTTTTTCAGCTTCGCCTATTTTAATTCCAAACTCCTCTGGAAAATTTATCACATAAGTTAATATTTAACCCAGGCCCAAAAAAATAAAAAATGAAAAGAATTAAAAGTTACATTCTTATAAAAACTCAGAGTAAATGAACACTAGGATTTCATGGAGTTCCTTAATAAATTAAAGAGCGATGACTCGGCAGTCACAGCTGGTTATCCCTCCAAAGTTGTTTTCCTTTTTATTATGAAATAAAGAACTAAATTCCAGGGCCTGGATGAACCCAAGCTGAATTAACAAACAGAGCAAAGGCAAAGTTAAACAAAACCGCTGACTCTGCTAAAACCTTGTGATTAACACTGATCTTGAAGGCAAGGTCAGGAAAAGTATTTCATGGAACTGCTTTTCCCAAGAAATTTTGGATCAAAATCAGAAAAAGTGCTGGTGTGTTTCAGAACATCTCAAAATACCTGAAGGAGGACTTATTCCACTTCGTCTGTTACCATTTACGGGGTGATGGTGCTGACTCAGCCTTCCACCCCTTGAATGCAGCGGCAGGCAGCCAGCAGGGAAAGCACTGAGTCTTATGTGGAGGGCAGGTATTGCTGGTGAAGGCAGGTCAGAGGCTGGGTCCAAAAGAAAGTACATGGTGTCTAGATGATTCTTGAGCCAATAAGTCATCACTTCCAGACAGAGAGAAAGCCTAAATTAGCTAATTGCTATTATTATGAAAATTTACAAATATAAAAGTAGAGAGAAGTGTAAACTCCAATATACCCTAGATTTAAATATAATTATTGTTAATAGTTTGCTAAATTTGCTTCATTGATTTCTTTTTTTGCTGGAGCATGTAATTATAGACAACATGACATTTTGCCCATGAGTAATTTGTGGTAGTCTGCCTTCCAGATGACACATAACACTCCCTGCCTCTGGGAATCCACACCCTTCTCACATTGTACCAGGCCTGGTCTGTGTGGCCAGTAGAATCCAGAAATAGTGATGGTATCTCTCTTCTGGTATTAGATTGTAAAAGACACTGTGGCTTCCATCTTACATTCTCATTTTCTCTCTCTCTCTCTCTCTCTCTCTCTCTCCCATCATCATCATCATCATCATCGCTTCCCCTGGGGAAAGTGGCTGCCATGTCATGAGCACCACCATGAAGGCCCATGGGGCAAAGAAAGCCTCTGACCTACAGCCATGTCCTGGGCCATCACAGACACAGACCCTCCAGCCCCAGTCAGGTCTCACATGACTGCACCCCCAGCCATCTGACATGTAACCTTGATGGTAAGCGCCTGAGAGACACCGGGCCAGAACCACCTGGCTGAGTCACTCTCAGATTCCTCACCCTCAGAAACTGTGCAAGATAATAATTTCAATTGCTTTAAGCTACTAAACTTTGGGCTACATTGTGACACGGCAATAGATAGTTCATAGACACTTTAATGCCTGCAAGTGGGGTGCTCTGTGACAAAACCCCTAAAATGTGGGAATGGCTTTGAAACGGGGCAGGGGCTCCACTGAGAGTGTGAAAGCATGAAGTGCCTTGAAGAAAATATTAACAACAGAGTCCACGTCTTTGAAGATTCAGGTAAGAGCTTGCAGGAAAGCGAGGCAAATGCTATTAAGAACTGAAGGAGGGGGATCCTGGTAATGCTGTTGCCTGCAGCTATGTGGGCAGAAGAAAACGTATCAAAGGCACTGGTGATCTGGTTAAGGAGATTTTGAAACAGTGTGTTGAAAGTGCTGCCT